GCGTGAGTGTGAGTGTGACCGTGAGTGTGAGCGTGAGTGTGAGCGTGAGTGTGCTTGTGCGTGTGCGTGTGTGTGTGCGTGTGCGTGGGCGTGTGCGTGTGTGTGTTTGTGTGGGGGGGTGCATGCGTATGTGCATGTGCTTCTACTCTTGTAGGACAATATAAAATAATAAAAAAAAATTCTGGTATAACAACCAAAATTAATAGAACAGGCTTCAAATAACTACAATTCCTGAATATAATCACACCACTGACAGTCTAAACTAAATTTCACAATGCACATATTCTTTATTAAAGTCTTCACTACTGCAACAATTTATCCATATTCTCTGCAAAGATTACTTTACAATACCTGTTAATGACCAATTAAAATAAATCCTAAATCAATAAACAAAGTTAACAATTTCCTTAACAATTTCAACATGTCAACAATGGATTTCCTCTTCTCGTGATTCTTTATTCTGAGAATTTTTAACAGTGAATGAAATATTATTAAAAAAAAAAAAAAAAATCAAAAAGTATATTCATTCAGGTATATAACCATCCATCTGTTGTCCTGTTTACATTAGTATTTTTACTTCTTTTAAATGTTATCATTATAGATACTTTATTTTCAGAAAAGCAGTCATCTCTTGGTAAATACCTTGTTCCATACACCAAGGGAACTGTCACTAAAATCATACTTTAATTTTGAATGAAATATCAATAACATTAAAAACAACATATGACTGTTCTTAATAATGTCCTTTATATAAACACTATAATCATATAATGCAGCCTTTTTCCTTTTCTTTTTTTTTGCACTAAACAAATAATTCAAGTTTTCTTGATAAGTATTAGTATTTTTAATAAGACAAGTTTTATCCTTTGTTAACGGTTAAAAGCAAAATGTTCTAGATATCTAAATCATGTGTAATAAACAAACCTATATCATTAAATCCAAATAAAATGTATATCTCCTGTTATCAGAATTTTCCACTTTTCCAGTCAATTTCGGGAAAGAGACTTCCTCAATCTACAACACATACTTTATTAGGAAATTTGCTACAAATACACAAAAGTAGAGAAAGTGACATTATAATACGTAAATCTATTACCTACAAATATAAATTTTTGGAACGTAACAGAAAAATGCTTATCTTTTGTAGTGACTTCATTTTTTAAGCTTAATAGCACAAGTAAAGTCTACCATAAATGACTAAAAATCAAATTCTGAATTGTGATAATCATAGCCACGAAGACCCAACAAAATAATATCTTTTCAACATCCATCTTGTAAAATTCTATTATTTGCAAATGCCCTGTGTTGCATACAAGAATTATTCTATTCACATACACTTAAAAATTTCAAGCTATAAAATGAAAAGAACAATAAATGTGAGAGAGAACAGTGAAAAATTCTCTTCCTACAATGAACCAATTAATTAAATATATGTCTTGTATCATGGATATGTCTGTATTACCGCTTAATCTTTGCAACTTCAGTTCTGAAGTTCAACTTTGTTTCCTATTTGGATTGTTCTTTATTCTCTTCTTCTTTGCAGAGACATATGGATGATACTTGGTCTCTCCACCTTTCTTTTTACCCTGTTTTCCGTTTTTCTCTTTCTTTGGTTCATCCTTTCTTTTTTCTACAACGACTTCCTCTCTCTTTTCCTCTGTAATTTCACTTATTGCTTCTTTCTTTATAACAACATCTTCTTCTTCAGGTTCAGTTTTTACTTGAACTTTGTCCTCTGATTCCTGTTGGTTATCCTGATCTCCTTCTTCATCAATGAGGAACATGTTATCAAAATTCATTTCTTGTGGAGGAGGTAAATCCTGTGGAGGTTTCTTTTCCCTTCTAAATGGTCTTGTCTTTTCTTTTTTAGGTCTCAAGCTCAGCTGCAGTTCATTTGCATCTGTTAGGTCATCATTAAGGGTACCCAAACTTAGGAAGTCTGACTCAAGGTTCACTTCTTGTGTTTTCTGGGCTCTTACACCCTGTCCTGGAATAAATATCCTCTCCTTTTTGTTACTTCGCTTCAAGTGATAGGACTCTATTTGTTCTTCTGTAAGTGGATACTGGGATGGAGCATTGGCCTTATTTTCCTTGTCCTCAGTTTCCATTTCATCATCTTCATTCTCATCTACTTCATTTCCACTGCCTACATCTTCTTCCTCCATGTCACCCTCAACAAGCTGAACAGCCTTACACATTTCAACATACAACTGATTAAACCTACAGGAAGTCTCTTTCACCGATGGTCTGAGTCCTATGACCATACAATGATGTTTAAGGCCGAGCGTCTCATCACTCTGGAGAATTACGTCAAGGCCATAAAGTGCAACAAATGGTATACCCTTGTTAGCGCACCCAGGAAGGAAGGTTTTGATCAGAAATCCTGGGTGAACGTTTTTCTTGGCCAAGACTGCAACAATCTCATCTCTCTCCATAGCCCTCATGACTTGATTGTACCCCATTACCAAGTGTGACATAGCTTCCTTCCTTTCCTGGTTTCTCTGACTTACACCTGCATCAACATTTTCAAGAATCTGCTTTTCATACTCTTCCAGGAAGCATTTTCTCTCTTCTTTCTTGAACTTCCGTAACTCTTTCCACGGGGGTTTATTTGGGGGCTTCAGGCCAGAACAACTCTTCTGTAACAGGTTTCTTAAGGAATCATAATATGAATCACTGATGTCTGGCCAATCAAGAGAAAATGGGCTTTCTAGTGTATTTTTTACAACAACCTTCTTTTTCATTCCTTTTATAGACTTCCGCTGTTCATGTTCACTTAAGACCCGTGCTGCCTTGGGATCAGAAGCCATTGTGAGAGAAGTGTGTTACTTTAAAAAAATTCAAACAAAACAAAAGCCAAGATCTCCACTACAGAGTAAAGTATAATTATATGATTTCTTCAAAAAACAGCAAAAATAACAGTAAACAATACACAACACATCCACAAAGTAATCAGAAAAAATCACAAATCACATACAAAAGTCTAATACAAACTAATGATTCTTTTTGGAATATCTTACAACATAGCAACACTTCTGGTGCCTATGAGCCAAGAAAAATTGAACTTAAGATCCTTCCTCAATGTCAATAATGCCAAAGAAAGCCAGCATTGTTGAAGTATAGTGCGGCAGATACGCGTAAGAGGAGTAGGTAATGAGGCCAAATATTGACAGAAAGAAAACATTCATGGCCAATTTCTCATTGGGTTCAAGCATGTACAAGGCTGTGTTCAGTTCATAACGCCGATACCAGTTCGAAAAGGCTTTGCGAATTGAACCTAACATTTTACCGATATTACTCAGTTCACCTCTGTTGCCAATGAAAAAAGAGCGAACCTGAGCTGTCTATTCCTTCGGCTTTTCTTCCGAAGGAATTTCCTCGATTTTGGGAATCTCAATTTTCAGCTTCTTTAGTGCTTCTTGGACACAGCTCTGGTACTGCTTGAACACTGGCTCGCACGTGGAGTCGTCCAACACTCCTCGTAGGAACTTCTCACTGTACCACTGATTGAAACAGTTGTCATACAGTGACTTTAGCTCTTGGCAGTCCTTGCTCACACTGTTCATGGGAAATGCTTTGCAGAAGAATCAAAATGATTTTACAGCATACTAACAATCTCAGAGGAATTAGTAAATAAGAAGTTTTTTTTTTTTTTTTTTTTTTTTTTTTTTTTTTTTTTTTTTTTTTTTTTTTTTTTTTTTTTTTTTTTTTTTTTTTTTTTTTTTTTTTTTTTTTTTTTTTTTTTTTTTTTTTTTTTTTTTTTTTTTTTTTTTTTTTTTTTTTTTTTTTTTTTTTTTTTTTTTTTTTTTTTTTTTTTTTTTTTTTTTTTTTTTTTTTTTTTTTTTTTTTTTTTTTTTTTTTTTTTTTTTTTTTTTTTTTTTTTTTTTTTTTTTTTTTTTTTTTTTTTTTTTTTTTTTTTTTTTTTTTTGGTTTCTCTGACTTACACCTGCATCAACATTTTCAAGAATCTGCTTTTCATACTCTTCCAGGAAGCATTTTCTCTCCTCTTTCTTGAACTTCCGTAACTCTTTCCACGGGGGTTTATTTGGGGGCTTCAGGCCAGAACAACTCTTCTGCAATAGGTTTCTTAAGGAATCATAATATGAATCACTGATGTCTGGCCAATCAAGAGAAAATGGACTTTCTAGTGTATTTTTTACAACAACCTTCTTTTTCATTCCTTTTATAGACTTCCGCTGTTCATGTTCACTTAAGACCCGTGCTGCCTTGGGATCAGAAGCCATTGTGAGAGAAGAGTGTTACTTTAAAAAAAATCAAACAAAACAAAAGCCAAGATCTCCACTACAGAGTAAAGTATAATTATATGATTTCTTCAAAAAACAGCAAAAATAACAATAAACAATACACAACACATCCACAAAGTAATCAGAAAAAATCACAAATCACATACAAAAGTCTAATACAAACTAATGATTCTTTTGGAATATCTTACAACATAGCAACACTTCTGGTGCCTATGAGCCAAGAAAAATTGAACTTAAGATCCTTCCTCAATGTCAATAATGCCAAAGAAAGCCAGCATTGTTGAAGTATAGTGCGGCAGATACGCGTAAGAGGAGTAGGTAATGAGGCCAAATATTGACAGAAAGAAAACATTCATGGCCAATTTCTCATTGGGTTCAAGCATGTACAAGGCTGTGTTCAGTTCATAACGCCGATACCAATTCGAAAAGGCTTTGCGAATTGAACCTAACATTTTACCGATATTACTCAGTTCACCTCTGTTGCCAATGAAAAAAGAGCGAACCTGAGCTGTCTATTCCTTCGGCTTTTCTTCCGAAGGAATTTCCTCGATTTTGGGAATCTCAATTTTCAGCTTCTTTAGTGCTTCTTGGACACAGCTCTGGTACTGCTTGAACACTGGCTCGCACGTGGAGTCGTCCAACACTCCTCGTAGGAACTTCTCACTGTACCACTGATTGAAACAGTTGTCATACAGTGACTTTAGCTCTTGGCAGTCCTTGCTCACACTGTTCATGGGAAATGCTTTGCAGAAGAATCAAAATGATTTTACAGCATACTAACAATCTCAGAGGAATTAGTAAATAAGAAGTTTTTTTTTTTTATTTTAAGTTCTCAAGTGTAAACGATGTCTATGATATTACTGTAATTACTAGACAGCATATAACAACTGAGAATAGTAAATAAGTAAGTTTTTTTTTTTATTTTAAGTTCTCAAGTGTAAACGATGTCTATGATATTACTGTAATTACTAGTAACTGATAATAACCCAACTGACTGAAAAAAAATTAAGTAGACTTATTTTTCTTTCTTGAGTCCACCGCCTTGTATATCTTAGACAGCAAGTAGGCCGAGGCTCCAACTTCACCAATTACTGCCCCGATGCAGCAAGTCAAGGGCCAAACCTGTGATGAAACAAACATCAGTTAATTTGCAGAGAAAAAATTCCTTCCTAAAGTCTACAGTTGTGGCATGAAAGGATACATGAATTATAACCAGTCAATTAACCCAAGCTACATTTCTTATTGTACCACTTTTATGGAAGACATGATTTAAATGTTTCTACATTCTACTTCAAAGATGCACAATTTTCATTTTAGCAGCTAAATCTGTGGTAACCTGATTATGTAAATTAGGTGCATTACACTATGTAAAAGATAAAAAATGATTTTACAGAGGGATCAAAACGCTATTTTCTTTAATTTTCGTAAATCCTATTCTTTCAAAATGAGGGATTGTATGCAGTTACATACAAGGGTACTACTCCATCTTTTGAAATAAGAGATTGCATGCAGCTATATGCAAGACTGCTATCCATTCTGTTGACATAAAAAACTGTGTGCAGTTATATACAAGACTGCTACTTTTGAAATAAAGAGATTTTATGCAGTTATCTACAAGATTGCTATTCTTTCTGCTGAAAGATAAGACTATGAAGTTATATACAAGGCTATTATTCCCATTGATTCAGTACTTCCCTTTGTGTGTTTAAATTCAAGACCGTCACACCATATGACAAACTGAGTGGCTTGCACAAGGAGACTACTCATGTAAACTAGAGTGAAGATCACTTCAAGTTCACAGCAGCAGCAAGAAAGTCTATATTTTTGGTGCGTAATATCTTCCAGGGATAGCAGGCAAGTGTTTCATTTGCAAAATATCCCCCTTTATACATATCAATAACCAATCAGGGCATTATGCATCCTGTTCACATCACCCATACCCATGACGAAACCAGCCATGCCATGAACTAAATGTCCTCTAGGGGCAATGGGTTAAGTTAGTCTAGTGGAATAGGTAAAGGAAGAAAAGATAGAAATGAAAATTAATAACTTCACAAAGCAAACAGATGGTATATGACATTTCTCTGGTATTTCTGATGAAAATATAAATCAAAATGAGTTCATTCCATCTGTTACTTTGTAAAAGTTATTCTTTATCATTTACACATTTTCTACATTTGGTTGAGTGATGCATGTAACTTCCACCTCAATAAAATATCTACTTACTTTCTTTAACAATACAAAACAAAATTCCCCTACCTTAAACCAGTATAATATCTTCACATTCTCTTCACACAGTTTTGACAAGTACATATTTAAGCTAAAAACCAAAGTACCTGACATATCTACAAGTGAAAACTGCCACAACCTGAACAATGCAGCAATGCCCCAAACCACAGAAAACCACAGACCTGCCAAGGAGTGTCCCAGTCCAGTGGAATAGGCAGAGCACCAAACCAAGCTCCCACAACTGCAGTCAGAGACTGGAGTACAGGTTCCTCCTCAAAATTTGCCCTGGAAATGTATTTTTTTCCATTTCTAAATCATGCAAGTAAATCTATTTTTGATATTTGCACAGATAAATGATATCTCACACTTTACAGAAATAGTGACTCCTTTTCATATGAAATATGTTAGCAGTATTTAGTAGCAATAACAACAGTAATGCAGAAAAATTAATTCAAGCTATGATATGCTATTATAAAACTAGCAACTATGAAAAATTGGAAAACAGTAAAAGTCATACATTTCACAAAACACCAATCAATAGTAACATTTACAGATAAGCCTTCTTAAAGAGGAAATATGTATCCCAACTATAACAAGCCAGATAATTTACAGAAAAATACGACAGAAAAAGCTACTGTACAAAAATCAGCTTTTTTAACCCCTTGCCGCCGGGTGACGGCGATACGCGTGTAAACAAATCGCTCGAAAGGTGGCGTGCGGCCAAACCAGCCGGCGGCGCGCCAAAGCGCGGCGAGCCAGTGATTCGGGCTGACGCCCCGTACTCCGGCGCTCAAAGTCGGCGCGCCGCCTTTGTTTGCCAGAGCGTAGAGTTTTATTTTCCTTTTGTACACCCGGCGTCATTGGGTTAAGATAGAGAGGCTCACTTTGCAATAAACCTAGCTGATATTCAGTGTATTTTTTCCTACCAGTATATTACACACAACACAATGTAATCTTCCTTCAAAGACAAAAAGTACCCAGACAAGCACACGGAAACTGTAAACTAACCTTTCAATAATCAGACCGAGAGCACCAGGGCCTAGGGTAACAAGGGGTCGGACGAATGCTAGAGACGCGACTAGTATGCTGAATGTGAAAGTCTCCTCAATATTCCTGTGAAATAAAAATGCAAACGAGTCAACAAAAAATTATAAAATTAGAAAAAAAAATGAATACAGGTCTTATTATACATATTCAATGACAACACATAAATGTTTTTTTTTATTGTGTTTGGGTCAAGAAACAATTTCTATAAACCTACCCACAAAACAACTACATACTTGTACAATACCAAACACTATTATTAATCCTCTACAAAATAGAAAACAACACAACCCAAAATTTCCAGAAAATAATACAAATATTCTGAACAGAGAATTACGCAAATACTTACTCAATCAAATATGCTCCATACAGCACAGTGACAATGTGCGTGAGGCATACACTGAAGATGCTGAGAATCACCACCAAGACGAAATCCACAAGCTGAAATAAGAAAAAATGTCTTAGGAGAATCCCTGAAGTTATGTATTGTTCCTTATCTACTTTACAGTCTAAGTGTAAAACGATATTACTTTATGTGACTGAAAGAATATTTTACTGATAAAATGAAGAAATGTAAGACAACTTTCCTCTATGATAGTTCCGGCACAAACCAAAAATTTTTAAAAAGTTATTTGATACCAAAATATGATAGTCGCAGTAGTTCTTTTGGACTACATCCGTTAATGTTTGTGTTTATTTAAACTGACATGTACTTGTCTAGAAGCAAATTGAAAAAAACAATTCCTGGACATTAAGCCAATGACCACTAAATCAAAATGCAAGGACCATTCCGTGTTTCTTATTGGGCTTTATGCACTCCAACTTTTCAAGGCAATTCAGAGCCAGTTCTTTTAACATAAAGATATGTGAAATTGCTGTATAGGTGTCAGATGGGAAATACACTGACAATGTGGGATATACACTGATGATATATCCAAGAAATTTATCATCAAATAAGTAACCAGCTTTATTTTGTCAGAATGTTTGTGGAGAATCTTTGCTGAATTTAACCCCTATGATCTGGATGACATGACCATCACATCATGAAAAAATTTGGCTTGCGGGGCATGCCAAGGAAAATATTGGCTAAGGGCTGGGGTAACAGGAACATGCCGTCATGAGAATTTTGCCCGAAGACTAGAATGACGGGAATGGCTCGCCACAAAGTTCTCAGAAGGTGATTAGACTCAGTGGGCATTTAGAAAGGGAATCCTGCACAATCTCCATCAAAAAACAAGCAGAAATTAAAATTCATTTCACACATTTTGCTTCCCCAGCACTAAGAAACTCAATTACTCGTTATTCAGGACAGACCAGTCTTTACAGATACATACAGTATATTTCCTAACTTTAAGAAACTAAATATCTCTTGTTTCCCTTTAACATAAGTACCAGTATATCTCTCTACTACAGTAAATGACTCCTAACCTTTAACGGGATTAAAAAATTCCAAATATTGCCTTAAAAAATCCATATATTTTTCACTATTTTAATGAATTTAATTTTCTATTTACACAGGAGATAATTTTATAAAGAATTCTATAATAGAGTATAACTAAAACAAATAACATGCTAGCACAAACAAAAACATACTGCTTCCCTCTCTGTAATCTAAGGCACATTCCACCTATAACATTTCCAGTGCAATGGACAATAAATCATTATATAACTAATATAAAAGCAAAATACTCTCAGCCGGTCCTTCAACCTTCATCCTTTACTGATAAACAATTGACTTAAATATGTTTATTTTACCTCATGTGCCCTTTTTTTGGAAAAGGGCAATCATAAATCCGAAAGTTCTGGATATTCAATTTCTCTATAGACAATGATCATCAAAAAAAGCTCTTGTTATAGTGCTTATTATCAAAGTATTTGTAAAGTTCAATAATTTGATGCAGTATGGACCTAGTAAATTAACTTAGCACTTGCATTTGCAGTATTGCTTGTCGTACAGTATACACGGATGATATATCCAAGAGGTTTACCATAAAATAAGGAGACAGTCCAAGCTTTAGCCTGCTAGAATATTCATGAAGGATGTTTGCCATGAGCATAGCACCAACAAGGGCAGAGGTAGCAATGATCAATATGCACATGGTATACCATGCAATCAAAGTAAAATATATGAATACCACATATGCTCCATTCTTTTTACAATCAGCAGAAATCAACTGTATCTGATATAATTATTATTTGCTATTACCCAAAATCCTATTCCATATACCAAATAAGATATACTATACCCATCTAACTTATAATCGTAAACATTCTAACAGTTTTAGCATGTGTCTCATCTACAATCACAGGGTCAATTTTTTAGTACTGTACATCAGTTCCCAAGAAGTACAGCTGAACTGGCCTAATAAATCTGCTTTCACCCTAAAAGTTTTGAGCTGAGATTTTATCTGATAAAAATGTAGTGCATTTGAGTATAACACTATAAACCTTTTGACAAATAAACTATGTTAAAAAGGGTACATGCAAACATGCAAATTCATTATCTAGTATTTGAAAATACAGATATTCTACTCATTAACTTTCGATGGAATGATAATGCCCTCAAGTAGCTATATATGATAATTTTTTAGTTTTACATAACCATCCAACCTTACAAATATTATTCCTTGTTTCAATAAATGGACCTTTTAATGTGTGAATCTGTTGTTATTTACCATCGCAAATGACATAAATGAGTTTCGGCAACTGTTTACGAGGTGACCACACCCCTCTGGTGATTACTTCAGCTCCTGTGAAATCCATAAACATCACAGTACGAACCAAATACCTTCCTAACCTGGAGGCTCTACCCACAGACCCCCAATCTTATCGCCATATTTCCCTATCAGGGTCTCTGCGCACGGACCTCTACCTGCTCACCATGGACTTGCTCTCCACACGGCATTTGTTACAACTTTTTTTCTTTTTGACGTTGTTCTCTACCTGGGCTGATTATTTCATATATCATTTAGCATTCTCCCCCCTCCCCTTCTTTATGATATTGCCATTATATTTTCCCATGCATTTATACCAAAGTATTACATGTTGCATAACTTTCTTATTATCAACTTGCAAAGGAAATACCATAAATGAATGGCATCTTAATTCCAGTTTTTTGTCCATTACAGGCAAAATTTACATTATTCAATATAGGTGTGGGAAACCGAAACTATACCCTATATATACCCTTCGAAGACTGAATGAATACTCCCAAAAAGATACCTCTGTTTGGTAATTCAACTTCTGTAAAGTATTTATCATTTTTGAATGGTGAACCTTTTGATGGGAAAGTGTCATATTATGTTTACCTGCACTTGTTTGTCTTGGTGTGAGAATATCCAGTTTTCTTCCAAAATGCTGACAATCAACTAAGTAACATATAACTTGATTATATAAGTTACACATTTGCTTCAAAACTGAACAAGGGAGAACAAGTAAATATGTTTTTTTTTTTTTTTTTTTTTTTTTTTTTTTTTTTTTTTTTTTTTTTTTTTTTTTTTTTTTTTTTTTTTTTTTTTTTTTTTTTTTCCTGATGAGAAAATTATCAAGTCAAAACGGTAATCAGTTTATAAAGAATAAACAAAGGGAAAGATATAGGCAAATATAGGCAACAGATGGTTATATCACAAATTTATTTATCTATTTTCATTTTCTATTTAACATTTTACATCATTTCAATTATATTTCTAGGTCAGTGGAAGCATTTATCTTTTAGTAAGAGTAAGTTGTTCACTATGCATGGCCATTAACATTCAATTAGGAAATTTAAAAAAGTGAATGTCTGTTTCTTCATATACTTTCTAACACATTTCATTTCAAATATTAGAAACAAGTGAAAATGTTTGGTTAGACTTCTTTACTATTGCTTATTTAATATCAGGTTTTACATAGAAGGCACTAGTATTACCAGATAAAATCCCAGTTTGATAACCTGCAAATTTATTCGGCCAGCTGTACACAGTACATAGAATCAATGGAAAATTTCTCAGAAACCTCTGAAGAACAACATATCCACATGGAATTGCAGATAAATAAGGCATTTTTGGTAATTTTCTAGAATCCACTCACACCTAAAAGTTGGGCAGGGCATGAGAAATTGAGGAAATGGTAGGCTTAGTTTATACAGCACTTATGTATTTTTGTCATTCCAACCACTTGGAATACAAGATTCCTAATATATTTGACAAGCAAGACAAATCCCTGACAGTCCTGAGTGACATTTCCCATGGAAGAACAATGTTGCCATATTCTTATGTTTAGTGAATATTTTGTAAACCCCTCAAAAATTCATACAACCGAAGTCACTCTGCCCTCAGCATCGGGCAACACCTCAAGCTTTCTCGGACCGCTTCGCCTCGCGGGCGTGGCACGAGGCCTCCCTCCTTCATGGGCATCTCTGCCATGCCTGTCCTCTACACCACCTACCATATACCCATGCAAATAAAACATTGAAGCTGCGACATCTTTAATTCAATTCATATTTAACTACTTCACCTCAAGAATCAGACACCAGTACAATCACAGAGGGGCACATCCTTCCACCTGTTATTACACTGGTGGCATCGAGGTGGGATAAGTGTTCCACCACTATCTAACAGGGGGAAAAGCCCTCTATCGACCATTCTCTTGGAAAGTGCCCAAAAGGAGCACCCAGTCACAACAACTTAACCCAATGACACCGGGTGTACAAAACAAAAAAAAAACTCTACGCTCTAGCGAACAAAGGCGGCGTGCCGACTTGAGCGCGTGTGTAGGGGACATCAGCCCGAATCACTGGCTCGCCGCGCTTTGGCACGCCGCCATGTACAGCTGCTTGCCAGCTTTCGAGCAGTTTGTTTGCACGCCGATCGGCGTCACCCGGCACCAAGGGGTTAAGATTATCAATTTTTCGTTCTGTATTCATTCTATTTCAGCCTCTTTTTCCCCATAATTTCCCTGATAATCTTTATGCCCTCCCCTGCT